CACTCGACACCACTCAAAAGGGGAAACTCGGTGACTCGCGACTCGACTCGCTGAGTCGCATGCATGCGGCTTCTAAAAACTCGATTCTGCTTGAATCCAGCGTATATAATTTATAGATCTGGGCTCCCTAAGCTCGATTAACACGTAAAGATTCTATCTTTACGTGCCCATAAGCACCCAAGAGGATTAAAAGGCTCAAAAGCATAATAAAGGCTAGATCTAGGGTTCTCATGCAAAGCAACTTCGAAAAAGGCAATAGATCAGGGCTCTACAAACCCTACATGAACAGATCTAAGGATACAACGACCCATCAAGGCATCCATATAACTAATAGGCTTGGAAATTACATTAAATGAGTCCTAGTGGTGTTCCAATGGAGGTTTTAAGCACAAAACAGAGGGATTCTGAGATATACCTTAGTGAACTTCGTTTGTGGCCTTGGATCTTTGTTTCCCACCTCCTCTTCTTGATCCTTTCTTCTTTTCCTTCTTCAAACCTTCAAGGATTCACACAAAAGCACTTTAATCACACAAGGAATGGCTTAGGGTTGCTCACAGGCTCTCTGAGGGTAAAGGAGGCGAGTTTGGGGCACATAACATTGTTTAAATAGTGAGCAAACTCGGGGATTTAGGGTTTCTTCCAGACAGGCTGACTCGCCGAGTCCGGAATATAGAATCGTCGAGTCGCCGACTTACGCATGCTCGAAATCCCATCTCTACTCGATGAGTCGGGCTATAGACTCGCCGAGTCCCTCAGGAAACTTCTAAATAAATAATATAAAAACACATACCAGGGACGGGGCGTTACAGTTTTGGTTCGAGTTAAAAATAAAGATGTTTTGTTTTAAATTAAAAATCATAAGTGTAGGCATAGTCAAAATTCGTATGTATTTTATGTTTAGGCCTTTCGACAATTCACAGAAAAGACGAGTTAAAGCGGAAGATTAATCGAATTACTAAATATTAAGGTGAGTCGATAGACTTTTCATAAACATTGTACATAGTTGAAAACTACTTTCCGGACACGGTTCGATTAGTCAAATTAGAATATTATTAATTGTCGATTATGCCAATATATGCATTATGAAATATGTTACTGTTTTGCCTTCTGTGACATTTGCATGCTTAGTAAATTTTGTTGATATGCCTATCTTGGTACTTGATATGATTAATTTCAACTATGATATGCTATATGAAATGTTTGATATTTGACTATGATCTTGTTGAGTATCTTCTTGGTATAAATGTTATGAATCTTGATTATGATAATACGAATATTGCATGCTTGTGAATCTTGATTATGATAATACGAATATTGCATGATTGTAGTGAATTTATGAATGATTATGCGGGGTTATGCATAGAGGGCAAGGGTAGAACCTAGCACTTAGCATGAAACCCTATCCGGATACATTCAAGCCTTGTTGGCTAAAAATACCTTCTAGGAAAAGAGCTTAAGTCATTTACGAGTTGCTCAGTCTTTCTACATGCCCGTGCGACACATGGTAAACGTACACTTCGGTGTTTGCGGACTGGGGTGATGTTGGCCATTCGAACGAGGCTTGTACAAACATCACGTAGGTGTTAGAAGGTGGCAGACGAATGCCACCGTTTGTACCAACACCAGAACGACACCGCGATGTACTTGTACATTGCATAGTCGGAGTAGTGAGAATGGAGTCTTGGGGTTGGTGTGACGGGTGGGAGTCGCGCACTCCCTAAAGCATTTGGCTGGCCAGGCACACAAGTAGCGAGCGGGTTTTTCCCTTGGGGTTAGGTATCACTATGAGACTACCTACGCCTATACGATTATGATACATTCATTTGATATGATGATATATGATTACGATATGATTGTGCATGATATACAATTGATGTTACACAAATGAATGATATGTGAACAGATGATAGAAAATTGAATGATTGAACTTTATGTGAAAGATAATTGATTAATGATTGATATTTGAGTTTTGTTTATATGATTATAATTTGAATGATTGACCCGTTAGGGGATGGTATGTTTTCCCTTTGATTGTGTACAAACTCCTATTGGCTCACGAAGCATTTGCTAACACTTGTTTCTTGTCTTTGTGCCTTTACGATTGGTACATGTAGCTTAGGCGCTTGGCTTGGTGAGATTGAGTCATTTTTGGGTAGTTTATCCTTAGAATAAAGATGCCACTTGAAAACGTTATTAAATTTTTGATACTTATGTTTCCGCTACAATTAAATATTTTTGATATTTTGGTTTTGAATTGAACGTAACATTGTGGTTTGAAATGTTTTTGAAATAAACAATGTTTTCAGTCTTCCGTTGCATTTTCTGTTAAAAGATTTTAGAATAAATGAAAAAAAATTGAGCAAAAATCATGACGTTACAGCCATGGCCCCCCTGTTTTTTCGGCTTAGTATATTCAAAATATTGTAGATCAGCTTATCGTTTGTGGATATATACTACTATCGGCACCCCAAGAAATTTGGAAAAAGCTAACAAGAGTTTAGATCTTAAAATATTGTAATCTATAATTAAACAAATAGTAGAAGAAAAGATAAGCACAATCGGTTATCTATGCTTGCTTACACGACTCTAGCCTACCATTTGTTCACTTGTTGCTTCGCAGGACTTCAGTCGCCACTCGTCATCTCTGTTTGTTTCTATTTCTGCATTTATGTTTCAGAGACGACAATATCTTCTGAATGTTCATCTAATTTATTGGGTATTTGGTCCTATCCTCTTTTTGTCTTTCATTTGTTTTTAAAATTGTATTTGGACGGTAGCTTCTAGACTTACATTGATATCTTTCATTTGCTTTCTTGACTATTAATTTTAATTGATTACTTGATTTCTCGTATACTTCAATCAAATTGTTTGTCTAACTGTTTCTTTCATTATCTTTTTGATGGTAGTGTAATAGGTGAATTTTCCTTAATGATTTTTTTTGTGCTTTATCTAATTAGTTAGATCAATAAAAAAAAAACCTCTATTAAGTATGTAATGTGTCTATTTAACTGTAATCGGTTGTGTTTGCTTTTAAATTTTATTAGAATAACTGTTGATTGTTAATTGAATTTGATTAGGATTTGAATTTTTTTATATCGACATTTATTAGAATTTACCCCATTTGGATTTTTCTTGAATTGTCGCTGTTTCGACCCCCTACTTCTTATGTCCGTGTTCCGCCCCTGACTGTGTCATCTCAATATCTATTGTTAAGTTGCTTTTCCGTCCCAATGCTTTTATAGTTCCTAAGTCGAATTACCCTTTTGCCCTTACGTTTCCTTACTTAAAGGTTCCTTGCATCTAATTTGCTATCAAATTAAAATAAATCACAAAAATTTAGGAGTTTATTGATACCTTCAAAAGATAAATTCGAATCTTCCGTCTTTATTCGATCACCTTTCTGCCCCTAAACCTTCAAATCATACTTAAAATTTAAAAAATTCATTCAACAATATCAACAACCTTTAGTAAGGAAACGTATTGCCTCATGTATTCTTAGAATTTGCGTATGTGTAAATCAGACTAACTTTTCTTGTACGCTCGTATGACCGTGTTGGGACTTTCATTGTAACATCCCAGAATAGAAAGAGTAGAGTAGAAGGACTAAAAGTGTAAATTTTGAAGGGCAACTCGGTGAGTCCATGGATGGACTCGGCGAGTAGGGTCGCGACCTTGGTCGCGAGTCAAGTGGCCTACTCGGCGAGTCCAAAGATGGACTCGGCGAGTAGGTGCTGAGTGGAGAAAACCCTAAATCCGGGGAATGAGCCCTATTTAAAGAACATTATATCCTCTCCCCAGCCTCTTTGATCCCCCCTTGAAGTCCAGAAACCCTAGAAAGCGTGATTGAAGAAGATTGGAGTGCATTTGGAGCTTGGGGGAGGTGTTTGTTGAAGAAATCTTGAAGGAGAAGAGGCTTGGATCAAAGGGCTTTGTGTGGATTCGAGTTTCATTGCAGTTGGGGCATTCTTTTGAGGTAATATCTCGTTCTTGGGCTATCACTCATATGGATTCATCATTTTGGGGTTTGTGGGGAGTATATCTTGGTATGTTTTGGAGTTTGGAGGTTAGATCTGAGGTTGCTACCTTAGATCTGGAATATTGAAGGCCTAGAGTGCATTAAAGTTCCTGTGTTTGAGTGCTTAGTGAAGCCATCATGTCCCAAACCCTAGCTCTAAAGTGAATAAGGCCTAGATCTCTTTGGATTCACGTAAAGTTTGCCACTTTACGTGATGGATGGATTGTAGGAGGCTAGATCTATGTTTTGGACCAATTGCATGGCCTGGAATGCTTCTGTAGGGATTCAGACCGGTGGTACTCGGCGAGTCACATGGGTGGACTCGACGAGTTGCTTGAAGATGAGCTGGAACTCGACGAGTTGGATGAACAACTTGGCGAGTAGGTTGAAGATAGCCTTAGACCCGGCGAGTCTGTTCTTGGACTCGGCGAGTCTTGTCGAAGAGTCCTAATATTTTCTGGTTGAGTCGAGAATCAGTGAGTCAAGGGATGACTCGGTGAGTTGGGTGCGAGTGGACTCAGAGTTGTTGGACTCGGCGAGTCTCGGGATGACTCGACGAGTTAGGTCGCGGATTGTGGGAAGTTCTGAGCATAGGGACTCGATGAGTCATCGGGTTGACTCGGCGAGTAGAGTCAGTCAGAGGTTGACTTTGACTTTGTCCAAGGTTGACCAGTTGTCATCCAGGGGTATTTTGGTAATTAAGGATATATATTGAGTTGAGTGTTTTGGTGTTCAGTGGAGGAGTTCGTGTCGGAGTTTGGAGCAGCGGGATCTTATCCTTTCAGCCAGCAGTTCGAGGTGAGTTATTGTCACTATATCAATAGGGTCTACGGCACCAAGGTCGACCCTTTACCGGATGGAAATTCGGGTAGTTGTTTGTTATGGTATTGCTTGATATGGGCCGGAAGGCATTCTACGTTATGTGGACCGGAAGGTCATGGCCTGGAAAGGCGTATGTGTGTAAGTAGTATCGGAAGGTCATGGCCTAGAAAGGCGTATGTGTGTAAGTCTGGTTGTCATGGGATGTAAAATAATTTTTGGATTTTTTCATAGGTATTGGCGTATTCCGTGGGATCACGATGCTAAATCTTTTGCCTCTTATTTGTATACCAAGGGACAAAGGAGTGACATCTAATAACACCAAATCTCGACACCTTTTATCACTGTTAACACTTAACTTTGCAGCCATAACTGCTGCACCATATGCTACAGCCTCATCGGGGTTTAGGCTCTTGTATAGCTCCTTCTGATTCAAAAGTTTTTGCAACATACATTGGACCTTTGGTATTCTAGTTGACCCACCAACAAGAATCACCTCATTTACCTCCGGTTTCTTCATCTTTGCATCGCTTAAACATGCCTCCAAAGTCTTGATGCATCGATCAAAATACTCCATGTTGAGGTCTTCAAATTTAGCTCGACTGAATTTTATAGAGAAATCAATCCCCTCATGCAAGAAATCTAGCTCGATAGATGTGAGAGTATTGCTTGAGAGAATCCTTTTTGCTTTCTCACAAGCACATCTCAGTCTCCCCAATGCTTTTTTGTTAGGTGTCAAGTCTTTCTTCCATTTTCTTTTAAATTCCATAACACAATGATCCACCATGCGGTTATCAAAATCCTCGCCTCCCAAATGAGTGTCACCAGCAACGGCTTTCACCTCAAAGGTACTGAATTCCCCTTCTACCATAGTCAGTATAGGGACATCAAAAGTGCCACCACCCAGATCAAACACCACCACATTCTTCTTCTTTTTCTCTTTCATTTTGAAGGGCTCTTATAGACCATAAGAAATTGCAGCTGCTGTAGGTTCATTGATCATGCTAATGACGTTGAGTCCAACAATAGTGCCAGCATCTTTTGTTGCTTGACGCTGTGGATCGTTAAAGTAAGCGGGGACTGTTATCACACCATCTTTCACGGGTTTTCCAACGTATGATTCTGCAATTTCTTTCATCCTTCCAAGAACCATTGATGAAATTTCTTCCGCCAAAAATTCCGTGGCTTTACCTTTGTAGGAGACGACTATCTTTGGTGTGTCGGAAGGACCTTCTATCACCTTAAAAGGCCACAATTTCTTGTCCTCTTGCACTTTGGAATCACTGAACCTTCTTCCAATCAACCTCTTAGCATCTGAACATTACTTCAAAAAATATTAGTTTATAACAATGAGCTAAGACTTCAGTGGACTTAAATGTATCAGATTCCGTTGTTGAGTGAAGAATGATTCTTAAAATATGGAATTTCCTTACGCTTAATCATAATAAAATAACAACATTCAATACAATGCATGAAAAGAAAAAAAAAAGGTTATTACGTACCAAATATGGTGTTAGTAGGGTTGATGGTGGCTTGGTTCTTGGTGCCATCGCCAATGAGACGTGCTGCATCAACGAAAGCAACACAAGACGGTGTCGTTCTATATCCCTGAGCATTAGGAATGATTTCGATGCGATCATTCTTCCCAACGGCGACACATGAGTACGTTGTTCCGAGGTCAATGCCGATGGACGGTGCGTCGTCTCCTGTTTTGCCTATTCCAGCCCAATTTCAATATAAATTAACTATCGCTTTTCATCATAACTTACCTTATACATTTTGTTTTAAAATTCAAAAAGTTTAATAAGAGATATACACAATCTGATGCACAATCAATCTTTATCTCCTAGTATCTCGACCCTTATCTCCTTATTTTTAGACCAAATATTCAATCTATCAAGTGTTACATTTTTCGAGCCCTTCAGCCTTTTTATTTATTTTATAACTAGGTATAAAACACGTGTATTACACGGACAGACGGGTTGATTAAAAAAAATATCAAAGTATAACAATAAGTAATTTTTAAAACAATTACATGTGTTACATTAATATACTAAAATATAATTAAATTTCATTAAATAGACATTAAATGGTACACATGTCATCATTTAATTGGATATGAGAATTTATAGGAACAAAAGATAAGAAGATATTTAATTACTTTTTTTTTTAAATTGAAATAAAAAATAAAGAAATATGCTAATTATAATTTAATATAATATTTAGAGAAAATGACAAAAATAGCCAAATATACTAATTACTTTGTGGGAAATAGCCAAAAAAAATAGGAATTGCACATTTGGCCACATAAATCGTAGATGGGAATGGTCCATCTGCGATTTTTACACCCCATCCGCGAATGTACAAGTAGCTAAAGCACAGTTATGCTTTAGCCACTTATACATTCGCAGGTGGGGTATTATATATATATATATATATATATATATATATATATATATATATATATATATATATATATATATATATATATAGTGTATATATAGCGGTTTACCAGGCTTAAATCGCAGATGGACTGATTTCCTCTCTATTTCATCTGCGAAATTATGTTTTTATTTATTTTATTTTGACTATGAAATCAATTGGTTTGACTATGAAATAACCTTACTATATAAAAACGTTTGTAGAAAATTATCAGTTTAGTTGTTATTTCTTTAGGAAATTTCTTTAAAATCTCTCTAAAAAATGATTGAATATTTGGTTTGTCTTGTAACCGGTGAGAGATGACAAGTTATTGAAACAAATCTGGAATACGTATGTCCACAGAGAGGTAATTCTGAATTCGCTTTGATATTTTCTGAGTATATTAGTTATAGTGAATTTATATCTTTGGTGAGAAGCAAAATTGGTTTTTTAGACAAATATAGAAATAGTCTTTGTTTCCATCATCCTGAATTGAAATATTGTATAGCTATAGTTGAAAATATGGATGTTAGAATGTTGATAAATGTAATCAAATGTAGCGGAGGAAGGGTTGTGAAAGTGTTTGTGGTGGTTGATGAAGGAGATGAGGTTAATGAGGCTGGTTACAGTGGAAATCAGCCGGTTGGTAATTTATGAAACTATAAAGGGAGCAACGATTCGATAGGTACTTTCAGTACTCCCAGTATACCTCAGTTTCACAGTGTTGCTGAAAATGTTAACGTTAGTTATTCACCTATTCACTATGTGGATCCTGAGAATTACAAGTATGTTGGTGATGATGATGTTAGTACATATCTTAATGACGTGGGTGGTCGTTGTGTTGATGTTCCCGAACAAGAAGTTAAAGTTATGAATAGACGTGTAGTAGATAAAAGTAAAAAGAAAAACATTATGCATCAAAAAGATGAAAAAGAGCATGTTTACGGGGATTATGTTGATGTTGCTAATGTAGGTTTAGATATAACCGACATAAAAAGCAATTCAAATGGAGATGAGTTGGGTGATGAAGTTAAAGCTAAGTTTCCCGATAACCCTTTTTACGGTATGCCCCCTCTACCAACATGCCCAGTTGATATTAATGAATATATCCCAACACAGATGGTAGACATCAATCTTCAAAAGATTGAATGTGAGAGTATATTTAAGAACAAAAAACTTTTAAAGCGGTGTCTTGGTAAAAATTGTCTTCGAGAAGATTTTCAAACGAGGACAAGTAGATCTACCAAATCAAGGTCTGAGTGTAACATCCCAAAAATTCAGGCCAAAAAAATCATTTTTAAATACGTTATTATAAAACCAACAATATAATAAAACATCCATAATATCATGTCATATCAAAACAAAAGTGTCAATAATCAAAACGTAATATCATAAAACCATATCAGAGTCTAATCCCAAAGATTTTGTGTGCGGAAAACATGGTGTGATGCACTGCGATCGAGCCGACTCCTTTCTTTTGAAAATGAAGTACCTAAAACCAAACTGAAAACCATAAGCACGAAGCTTAGGGAGTTTCCCAAAGCATACCACACACACAATCCACATATCACATATCCTGTTAGCTATAAAAGCTACACACATATCATATATCATGTTAGCTATAAAAGCTAAACACATATCATATATCATGTTAGCTATAAAAGCTACACACATATCACATAAGCCATGCATACATAAAACCTGTAATAGTGCCATGGGCTACCCCACATAGTCTTTACCTAGGACTACCATGGGCTACCCTACATGGTCTTACATCCAATGTCATGGGCTCCCCCCGGGGTCTTCATGCAAAACACACAATCACATATAATATCAAAACATAGAATGGCTAACACATATATCATAATCACATAATGGGCCGGCCTTGGTGCCTTAGACCCATAGGTATGGTGAGAAGACTCACCTGGCACTGCTGAAGTCCCGCAGACCCAAGCGCAGCTGCTGGATGACAGGTTCCCGAACTGTCAACATCAAAATAACACCCAATTACTAATTGGGTTCCACTACATAACCATAAATACCTACTTTGGATAATTACTACATTACCCCAAGCTTGGTTTTATTCCAACCCAAGGTCCAATCCATAGGCCCAAAAGTCAAACTAGGAATCAAAGCCCAACATATGGCCTAATTTTCCAAATTGGGCCCAAGCCTTTACATGGTCTTATTCAAAGGCCCAACCATTTATTTCGGTCTAGCATTTGACACTCAAATGGCCTAATAACATATAATCATTAAGGCCCAAACGATGGCCCATCTATGGCCCAATTTTCCAAATTGGACCCAAGCCCTCATATGGGCCTTACCCCTAAGCCCATCTAATTATTCTAGTCCATTGATTGTTCTTGGTTGGCCCATTATTGGCCTAAACACCAAAACCAAATATAAAGGCCCAACTCAAGGCCCAAGCGAAATTAAGGTTAACACATAAAATGATGATTAGGGTTAAGTTTTCCTACTTAACCCATTAAGGACTTAATCATTAAGTCCCACATGGCCTTAGGTTAATTTGCAATGATTGCCAATTAATATTTTAAGTTCATTAAATAATTCTGATGCGGGCCCGATAAGTCCCAAATTAGGGTTTTATTGCATTAGGCTTTTCTAAACCCTAATTAGGGTTTCCAACCCACATTAACCCATTAGGCCCAAAAGCTAAGTCCTTAGATCCATTAGGGTTCACTAAGCCCATTAGACACATATTTAGGCTTTAATGTCAATTAGGGCTTTATTAGGCCCATTAGGGCTTAAAAAACCCATTAGGGTTTTAGTCCCTTGTCCAAACATCCCAACCAAATCACAACATCAACGAGGCACACCGCTACCCGACACGGCGGCCGGTGGCGGCAGCCACCACCCAACGGTGGTGGTTAGGGTTTCTTTCCATTATTCAATTTTTCTAGTTACATTTTACAATGCTAAACTCCAATAATCACACACACACACACACACACTAATACAACTACACATAGACAACAACCTAGTGGTGGCCGGCAGTGGCAGCCACCAGCTCACGGTGGTAGTGGTGGTCTTCTTGAAAAATCCGGCCAAATGAACCACATGCAACACTCCATGAATCCCACACTCAAACACACAAAAAATCACACACACCACTAAATCACGCACACACAGCCACCACCATATGGCGGCGGGTGGTGACAGAACAGTTGTACACTATGGAAAGCACCATGGTCGGCTGCCATGGTGGTTTCCCAAGCTTTCCGGCCATGAGCACACACACACATGCAACTCCAGGGATTACCGCGACACCTTCACGTGAACGTACCCGCTGCTGCTCCATCCTCTCTGTGGTGAATCTCGATCGAACAATCAAAATGTAGGTTGAAATAGTGGTGGCGGCGGCTAACTGTTGTGGGATGTGCTCCAAAGTGGGCAACGGTCGAAACGACACCGGTAATAGCCGAGTGCGGGTGTGAACAATGACAAAAAAGAGAAGAAGAAGAAGGACGATGGAGAGGTGGCTTCGGGTACTCACAGCTTTGCTGGTGGTTCTCGTTGCCGCCGACACCAGGGAACAACGGTGGTGTGGCTAGAACGTAGCATCACGGACGGAGAAGAGGCTGAGACTGGTTGGAGGAGCGTGAGCAATTGGCGATGGCGGTTGGTGTAACACCCAAAGTTTTAAAGGCCAAGAAAGGAAAGGAAACCCTAACTTTAAGGAGGGACTCGGCGAGTCCAAGGAGGAACTCGGCGAGTCCGAGCGGGATCCGGACCGAGGAGTAAGTGACCGACTCGGCGAGTCGGCCAAGGAGACTTGGCGAGTCTGGTCTGTGTGAGGAAAACCCTAAATTCAGGGCTTGGAGCCTATTTAAGCGCCTCATTCTCTTCCATAGGGTTTCTTTACTGCCTCTTTAGCCCAGAATGTCGAACCCTAGCCGCCATATCCAGTGATTGAGCCAATTGTTGCCTTGAAGAGTGCATTAAAGCTTGGAGAAGGAAGAAGGAGCTTGAAGGTGCAAGGAGGGGGCTATAGATCTGGGATTAGGAAGATATTTCTGAGCATTTGAAGGTATTAAGTCGTTTCCCTTCCTTTAGATCTATTTTGGTGGTGAGTTTTGGGGCTTTTTAGCCATGATTAGTTATCTACTTGAATTAGAAGTCGGATCTGGAGTTGCTACTTCAGATCCAAGCATATTATGGTTTAGAGAAGCATAAAGTTTCAGCCCTTGAGTTGATTGTGGAGCCTCTTTGCCTTAAACCCTAGTTTATGGTATATTTTTCCTAGATCTCCATCTCTACACGTAAAGTTTGCAACTTTACGTGAGGAATAGGCTTGGGAAGGGTAGATATATAATTTGGAGTCCATGCATAACTCAAAAGTCCTCTGCATGTATGTAGATATGAATGGACTCGGCGAGTCCTTCGAGTGGACTCGGCGAGTAGCATGAAGATGAGGAGGAACTCGACGAGTGGAATGAACAACTCGTCGAGTCGGATGAAGTTGGGCATGAACTCGGCAAGTTGGAAGAACAACTCGACGAGTTGGTTGAAGATTGCCTTGGACTCGGCGAGTCTATTCGTGGACTCGGCGAGTCAGGTCGCGAAACCCCAAACCCTTCGAGTTGAGACTCGAATCAGTGATTCGGGTGGAGACTCAGCGAGTTGGACAGGATAGGACTCAAAAATCGTTGGACTCGGCGACTCATGGACTGACTCGGCAAGTCGAGTCGCGAATAGAAGGACCCTGAGCATATGAACTCAGCGAGTCAGTAGGTGGACTTAACGAGTAGGGTTGACCTGGAAGGTTGACTTTGACCAGGATTTTGACTTTGACCAGAGTTGAGTTAGTTGACTTTTAGAGGACTGTCAAACTAAGTGTCATATTGACATTGGTAGCTCGGAGAGCTGGAGGAGCAGCGGCTCAGAGGATTATCGATTAGCAGCCAGAGGATTATCGGCCGAGCTCAGCAGTTCGGGTGAGTTTCCTTCCAGTAGGAACGGGTCTAAGGACACAATGTCGGCCCGTTTAGCTAGCAGTAGTTTCCAGATTTTGGTCTGATGCAGTAGTTAGTATGTTTGATGCCTTCGTGGCTCAGACAGGATTTATGTGTTATATGTTATGGGCTACGGCCCGATGCGGTATGCAATATATGTGTATTCATGCTAGTTGATATGTTTATGTTATGTTCTGTTCAGTTAGTTCCGAACTTCGGTCCGATGCAGGGGGCAAGGCCCCAGTTAGTCCGGACTTCGGTCCGATGCAGGGGACAAGGTCCTAGTCAGTTTCTGGACTTCGGTCCGATGCAGGGGACAAGGTCCCAGTCAGTTAGTCCGGACTTCGGTCCGATGCAGGGGGCAAGGCCCCAGTTAATCCGGACTTCGGTCCGATGCAGGGGACAAGGTCCCAGTCAGTTTCCGGACTTCGGTCCGATTCAGGGGGCAAGGCCCCAGTTAGTCCGGACCTCGGTCTGATGCAGTGGGCAAGGCCCAGTATGTGTTTTATATGTTATTGTATGGTATGTGGTAGTTTGGGGGAGCTCACTAAGCTTCGTGCTTACGGTTTTCAGTTTTGGTTTCAGGTACTCAGTTTTCAAAAGAGGAGCTCGGAGAGATTGCAGTGCACACACCATAGGGGAATGTTTTACTCTGATAATGAGATTATGTTTTGAATTTAATACTCGAAAGTTATGTTATGACTTATGATACGTTTTTATAAATATGGTTTTAGTAATGTTTTAAAAAGAAATTTTTAGTCATGATTTTTAGGTCGTTACAGTTGGGGAGTCACTCATGGCGGCTGGCAAAGTTTAGGTTTAGGGTTAGTATGGATGAGTGAGGTGACGTGTTTAATACCCGATCACACAAACTTTGTGATCAATTAACACCTTTGGTCCCTCCAATCCAATTTCCTTTCAATATTAGTCCATATTTTACAAAGAAGCCCCCCCCCCCCCAGCATCCACGCTTCTTTCACTATCAGTCCATAAGTTACCATTTTAATCCAATATTTACCATTAAGTACCTAACTTTGAAATCCCTTACATATTACGTCCAAATAATCCCTTACATATTAACCCCCAACTTCTATATTTATGACTTTTACCTCCTCAAAATCAACGCCTTGCCCAATTATAAATTTTAGGCTACTATTCATTCAATAATTTATTTATTTATTAACTAAATCGACAGAGTCTTTAAGACACTACCGTTAACGTGAAGAGGGTAGTGTCAGTTGCGGGTGTTAGATGCATAAGTGGTTTGTCATTGGATGTTCAAGAGAATTGCATTTTCACATGGCTTGTGTTCGGTTAGAGTTCAATAGTGTTGCAATATTGGAAGTGGGAACGAGGATTCATCAGCCTGAGTGAAGATTAGGGCCTTCAGTTGATAACATGGGAGATGGATTGAGGTGTCAGACTAGACCAGATTTCAAGAGTACTCATCAAGATTTCCGAGGATGGGCGATCTCAACGTGTAACCGGTGACTGATCGCTAGCATTAGTAAGCACAGGTTGCCATCAGTGGGATATTAGAAAGCGAGAAGGATTGGGAATCCTTCAATTCGCAGGAGTCGTAAAGACTTAGTCGAATCTAAGTGGGGGAGAAACTTTTTGTAAAGTTCTCCAAATGTGAGTTCTGGTTGCGCGAGGTACAATCTCTTGGGCACCTTGTCAACCAGAAGGGTATTCTGGCCGATCCGGCCACGATAGAGGTCGTGATGCAATGATAGATTTTGAGGTCTCCATCTGAGATTTAGAGTATCCTAGGTCTAGCAGGTTATTACCAGAGATTTGTGCGAGACTTCTCCAAGATTGTGGATCCTTTGACCCGATTGACCAAGAAGACAGTGAATTTTCGCTGGGGGCCTGAGCAGTAGGCAGCCTTCGAGACTCTTAGATAGAAGGTTCCGGGAACCAAGGTAGAGCTCCAGTTAGGACTCAAGTTCAATTGTGTGTTAGGCCGAGTGCGTGTTCGACCCATTATGGGAAGTGTTGTAAGACTACGGGGGTAGTCGTAGCATTCACTGACAGTCAGATAGTATGGAAAGTGTTGTAAGACTACGGGGGTAGCCGTAGCATTCACTAACAGTCAGTTAGCATGGAAGATGTCGTAAGTCTGTGGGTGTAGCCGTAGCATTCACTAGCGGTCAGATAGTGATAGAGTGTCGTGAAACTGCGGGTTGTCGTAGTATTCACTAGATTGGTAGATAGCACGAGCACGTTCATAGATCATGAAAGGGATAGTAGTACCCACCAATTCGGATGCAACATTGAGGATATGGAAATCTACGAATTAGAATTTGGAATTACCCAGATGGATTAGACCTGTTGAGCTAGTGATATGATCGTAGGAGCACCACTACAGTTATGCGATCAAGGAAGTAATGGACTGTGTAAGGTTGCTTGTGATATAAGGCTACCATTGGTCGGGTAGAAATCACTTTTAGCCTTGGGTTTGGTGACATCAGGATTCGACGCATGGACCCGATCGGTTGGATCGGTAGGTTGTTAGAACCACAGTAGCATGATAACAAGTGATAGCTAGTTCCATAGAAGGATTTCGTTCAGAAGTCATGTAGGGCGACTGTGTATAAGTCTTTTGGCTCAGTGGTCGGGTTGGAACCTGATATCTCAGATGATTGTCGAACGAATTGAGAGCAGGAAGGCCTCAGCAGATTTTGGAAAACAGTCATGTAGCAGCATATTGCTTCAGGCAGATCAGTGTTCAAGTAGTTTCAGCATTTGTGTGGTGTTAGTATGTGTGTTTTAAGTTGCATATACGCACGTAATAGCTGGTTTATTGGGGAGTGACAAGTTACCCACAATGAGATTAGCTGAGCCTTGGCCAAGTGTAAGTGAATTGCAGGGATAATAGGGTCTGCGAACCTGTTTTATAGTGGGAACCTCGAGCTATCAGACGTTGAGTAGCCTGTTGAGGGATGAACAGACTGGATTCAATGATAATGATTCAATATGAGTGGTCTGTTAGGGATTCAGACCATTCTGAAACATCAGATTCCATACGGAGTAGATATGATCTTGTTGCAAGGATTTCGTTCGTTTCTGGGTTTTAGAACCCTGCAAGGGAGGATTTAGAATGCCTTGGAAAGGCTGGGGCTATGCACGGAGTTGTGGCCGTATTACTAGAGTGGTTAGCATGTAAAGAAGGGTAAGGAATGATTTCGAGGACGATATCTAATTTAACTGGGGGAGAGTTGTAACACTCTGTTGATTTAGTTAATAAATAAATAAATTATTGAATGAATAGTAGCCTAAAATTTATAATTGGGCAAGGCGTTGATTTCGAGGAGTTAAAAGTCATAATTATAGAAGTTGGGGG